CTGTCTGACCACGGCCAAGATGCCACCACCACTGACTTCAGCAAAGCCACCTGCACACTTGAACTGGCTTTCTACGGGGAAACTTACTTCCCTTGGGAAATCTGGGCACAGCAGTTTAGCACCCTCACTGCTGGTTCCCCTCGTCTGTGCTTCAGCACTCAATCAGGAGAGACAGTGATAGAAACAGTACATGCCAGTATCAGATGCTGACTTTCCTAACTTTGACAGTTTTGATCGTTGACGGTAAGTTTTTCACAAGCTGAGACTTGGTGACTTGGTGGCTTTGTCCCAGTTTACTTTACTGTGACATAAAGATGAGTTTCTGTCTTCTGTCAGACACATGACATTCATAAATATTTAATACAGCAAATCATGGTCCTGATTCTTGTTTCAATCCTGGGCCCACTAAGCCAACCTGGGCACTGCCCTTTATTGTGTGAGAAACAAGAAGTGATCTCGGTGTCCATATGCATGCACATGCGTGTGTATATGTATGCACACACATGTGCATATGCACAGTGCTGCTTTTCACATGTGTTCTGGGAATTCAAACTCAGTTCCTCAGGCTTAGAAGAAAAGCTAACCTAGCTGACCAACTGACCTAACTCTGTAGGTCAGTTTTTTTATTTTAAAATTATCTCTTTTCTTTATTTTACATACCAATCACAGTTTCCCCTTCCTCCTCTCTTCCTGTTCCCTCCATATACCTGCCTTCTACTCACCTACCCACCCCACATCCCCTCCTCTGTCTCCATTCAGATGGGGTAAGGTCTCCCAGGGGGATCAACAAAGCTTGACATTTTAAGTTGAAACAGACCTCCCCACTGCATCAAGGCTGAACAAGGCATCCCACCACAGGGACTAGGTTCCAAATAGCCAGCTCAAGCATCGGGGACAGGTCTTGGTCTCACTGATAGTGACCCCACGATGAAGTTATGTAGCTGTCATCTATGGGCAATCTTTTTAAATACTTTCTTTTCAGTCATTAGTGTGTGGTGTGGCCTGTGTGGTGTGTGTGTGGATACATATATATATCATAAAATTTGAAGAAGGCGGATTTTAAAAATCAAACTGTATGATTGAAAGGATTTCAGACCAGTGAAGTTCATTTGCTCACTTCCATTTGCTGGTGACTAATTACAGTTATTAAATCAATAATTTAGTGTCTTGAACTATTTTGATAACTCCTCATTAAGAGAATCAAGGGTGATCATTAGAGGATGGGTCAGAGGCCTGATCTGCAGAGCGCAAAGGCCCCTACGCACCAGGCAGAGACGGCCTTGTTTATTCCTAGCACGTGAGTGGGCTTTGAATATTGATGGGCCAGAGCACAGAAGGAAGAGACTGTAGGACAAGCTTGAGGAGCCTGTTTTGTTCACAGCCCGGAATCGATACTGTGAGGACTGCCCAACACACTTCAGTAAGTGCTCATCCATTATTTACAGGGCTCTTTGTTCAAAGTTTCTGTTTACTAGATTACTTGGTAACTTGAAATGACTGTTTCTTTTCCCAGGGAAGCAGGACCCAAGTGGAGGTTTTAGAGGGTGAATTTGAAAGAAGGAGTGGGTCCTTATTTTATTCCTCACATCCCCAGTCCAGACTCAAGTCAGGATAATTTGTGTCTCTCCTACCTTCCTGCTGGATTGGTAGCCAAGATCACAGGAAGCTTTACTATCTAAGCTCAGTCTCTCTAACTCAGTGGTTCTCAGCCTTCCCAGTACTGCAACTCTTTAATACAGTTCTTCAGGTTGTGGTGACCCCCAACTATAAAATTATTTTCAGTGCTACTTCATAACTGTAATTTTCTGCTATTATGAATAATAATACAAGTATCTGTGTTTTCCTATGGTCTTAGGGGACCTCTATGGAAAGGCCTTTCAAGCCACCAAGGGGTTGCAAACCACAGTTTAAGAACTAATGCTCTAGCTTGCCCTTCTTCACTGTCTCAAAGTTTGGACTGTCTTTGGCAGAAGGAGAAAATGCTAAAGTGTCTCATCTAGTCCATGCCCAGGCTTCTGTGAGCTGTGAGCCTTTAGATTGGTGGCCTCAGTTTAAAGGAAGGGCTGTTTGGTTTGGTGTTTGTAGGAAGTTAATAATGTAAGGGTAATTTTTTTTAAACTACCATGTTGGGTTATGGTACCATTTTTTAAAAATAACTATAAGTTGCTATGGTTTAAATATGGTTTGTCCCCTTCTAACCCATGTTGATTGATCCTCAAACTTTTGGCTAAAAATCAAGTAGAAATGCATCTTGAGATTTGTTTGCCATTTTGTTGTCAGATGGGGGGGGGTCTTTGGGAGGCAACTAGGTTGTTAGCAGGAATAGTGGATTGCTTTCCTGACACATGAGGGCTTTAGACGTAATATCTAATACCTCCGCACAAATCAGGGATCCAGGGCTTTTCTATGAGAGCCGGGCCTTGCTCTCACAGGCTAAAATAGTTATTTTAAGAGTATGTTATCTAAAAGTAGGAGCTGTCGCATCTTGGCGGCCTGGTTTTCAAGCACCTGAGCTTCTTACACCCAACACTGTGTTGAAGCTCTTGCAGATACCACCACCGTGGCCTCGGACCCTCCCCCCCCCCCAGATATTTCTTTCCCATCTCAATCATTCACTAAGACAGAGAGGTGATAGGTAGATGAAAAGTAGTTCCTGTTTCAAAATATTGAAACTTAGGAAGTATAAAGCCTTAGGAATAAAGAGTAGAAACATTGTTCACGACATCTTGTTTGCCCACAGCCTTTGCTATTCTCCTGCACTGCTTCAGGGAACTCGATTTGAAGGGTCATGCCTTCCTATTACATAAAACAAGGATTGGAAAACTCCTTCTGCAATGAGCCGGAGAGTGAATATTTTAGGCCTTGCATGTCATAAAATATTTGCCACAGCCAGTTAATTCTCATTTTGTAGGGCAGCAGTAGCCAGGGATAATATATAAAAGATTGATATGATTGGTTCTGATAATTTTGTATTTACACAAATAAGCCAGTCAGACTTGACCGACGAGACTTAGCTTGCTGGCTCTTAGTGTCTAAGAGTCCAAATCCTTGACCTATAGCTCTGAAAAGTGCTTTGCTAATTTCAGCGAGGTGCTACATCTTGGAAGTAGTCATGAACATGGCATTGACTTTGTCCTTGTTCACAAGCCCCCCATAGCCCACATTTACATGCAGAATTAGCTCCCAGTACTGGAGAGGCCATGTGGGAATTAGTCACGGGTGCTAAGCTTTTTCCTACTGCCATTTCCAGGGCTCGGGCCTCAGTCTTGCATAGCAGCAGTTTCTTCTGGAAATAAATGAAAGAGGATTAGCAAAAACTGCAACTGGGGAGCACTAGCTATGTGATGGCGAAGCTGTGCGATGACGGAGCTGTGTTATGATGGAGCCGTGTGATGCTGAAGCTATGTGATGCTGAAGCTGTGTGATGACAGAGCTGTGTGATAACGGAACTGTGTGATGATGAAGTTGTGGGATGTTGAAAGCAGGTGGGGGAGGACATGTAACGTTTATGCCACCACTATATGCAAGCTTCTCTCCAAAGCTCCTTGCGACCAGACAGCGGACACAGCAGGCTGTGTAATCTTATAGGCAGCTTATCGGCCAAGCCCAACCACATGATAGTTCAGTATGTAACACTCTCCCAAACTAACACTCTCCTTTAAATAACAAGGAACAGTGACTTCAACTCACGTAGAAAACCAGTTATACATACTTGTCCCACTTGTTAAATCTTAGCAGTTTGCTCACTGTCAGCTTATTGGCGCTTATTAACGGTAGCAAAGCATGCAGAAATCGATTGTAAGCATATCTAACCCAGGTACAAACATGACAGCCAGAGGCTAAGGCTAGCCCATTCCTGTGACAGTTGCCGTGAGAAACACCACACCATGTGATAATTTCAAAGAACTCAAAGAAAACTAAGTCTACAGTTTGCTGTATTTTTATCACGACCACTCACTTTTGATACGAGCTAGCTGTGTGACTTTGAGCAAGTTCAATATTGCCAATTCCAAAATCCTCCTCAATGGAATGGAGATATTCGTAAAGATCTCCCAGGAATCATTTCTATGTGGATAAAAATAATGTCACAGTAAATCAGGGCAATCACAGAAAGGTTAGGTTTCTCGAACTTAATGTTCTTTCTTTTCCAAGTGCTGGTCTATTCTCGTGAAACAGTGCATCTGCCCATGAGGGCAAGCTGTAAATTCACCTGGTCGCTGGTTGTGTTAGACTGAGGCTACAGCTATATCACTAGATGGGCAGCAGTGTGCTTTAAGATTCTAAAAAAGAAAAAAAAGAAAGGAAGAAGGAAGGAAGGAAGGAAGGAAGGAAGAAAGAAAGAAAGAAAGAAAACACTTAAGATCTACCTGAAGGGTACTTGATAGAAAGCTGCACTACTCCCTAGGAACCTGATTTTCACTTCTTTGAAAGTACAGAAATGTCCCCTACCTACTTTCCTACAGAGAGGGAATGATAACATAGGATGAGCCTCAGAGCCCCAGCCCAGGGCTTACTTTGGAACTACATAAAAAGCACATATTGAAGTAATAATGGACAGTATAGCACTTTCTGGTCTTTTCATTTCCCCTAATAGAACATTTACTCCCTGGAAATAGTTTAGTTCCTAAAAGAATTCCCCAAAGTAAACTGTTCTGCTTTCTGATTCAAGATCAAATGTGAGGGTTACAAACTAACATGGTACTTCATGCACTGCAAAAATCTCCTTACATTTTTAAAACCCTTTAACAATAGAAGAGCCAAGAGAGGACACACAGGACGTCATGAATGTGCCCTAGCCTTACTGATATTCACTGGATTTTCCAAGCTCCTTTTCTAAGCTGTATACACTAGAGACAAAATAAAGTAGTCACCTAAATTAGTCATATCCCCAAAGTTAAATTTAAAGGAACCCAATTTCATGTTTATGTGAAAAGGAACACTTGTAAGCTTCTGTCATGAACACAAAATCTTAAGGCACCAAATAATCACAACATCTTATATGCCATCAACAGAGTGATAGTTTACTTATTCATATGAGATTTACTATTCTGGTAGGCACCCAGACAGTCAAATTCAAACCAAAATTTAACCAATAAATAGGTAGCACCCATTTCTTCTGCAAAAACAAAATCAAATAATTGATAGTACTATAGACAACATAATAAAATCGATTTCTCCTTGTAATTATGAAAGGACAGGGACAGCACAGCAAGTATCTTTTTGACATTTCATAATATATACAATCAGTCCCACATTACAGAAGCACATACACAAATAACATCGCTGTCCAAACTTGGGCCAATTTCTCTTTGTTTCTTACATTTCTGAATGATAGCATTTACAAAATCATTGAAACAAGAGGAAAGATGGCTGAGATTTTATTTACATTTAAAGAAGTAAGAAAGCTGGCAAATGGGTATAGAAAGACTCGTGTTAGGCTAGCATCACCTGTAATGTAAATATTTAGCCTTTAAAGACGCCTAGGAGATAACAAAAATATTTCCATAGAATTGGCATATAGTGGATCTAAGAAATCACCCTTACCCTAAACAGAAATTGTCCTATATTTTAAATGGTTTTCCTATTTGATTATACCCAAGTCATAAAAACCCCATGTTTATGTTCCTTTATGAATATCATGATAAAGCTTTGGTTATAAAACTCTGGTATTAGTTTGTTTCCCTTCGAACTCAGCCAATGGTGCATCAAGGTTAAGATGCTTCTGCTGTGTCTCTGCTACTAAGAATGGAACTAAAAGGGTAAACATGTTAAATTATCAAAAGTAAAAAATACAAATGCTCACACAGTAACCCAACGAGTCCTTCCATTCTCCAAGGTTCATAAAATAAATTTTCTGCACGAGATAATTTGAGTTCTTTAATCTAGAACACATATACGTTAGCCAAATCTTCTGTCATTTAGACTTTCTTTACACCTTCCCCATAATGGCTAAAGGACACATTTGAAAGAAGGGCAGACGGGGTCCAGTTGTAGTTCCTGTTCCTTGGGGAAGTCAGAAAGCTAAGAGGCAGGTTCCCCAGTGCTGCTCGGCCCTGACACTTCCGATCACCTCCGATGTTCCCCTCCGGCATTTCTCGTGTTGTACTCCTTTTGGGATCGGAACATGTCAGTTGAGTGGCCGTCTGTAGATATGGTTCCATGTGATAAGATCGCAGAGCAGAGAAGCAGGGGCAGCCGGGTAAATGCCACTTTTCATGATGCATGAATTGTAATTGTGGAGATCTGAGATCAGAGGTGAGTTCTCACTAGACTGGCAATCCACACAGCACAGCTCTGTGTCCTGATGCGCCTCAGGGTCAAAACACTGTGTCTGCTACCGCGTCACCTAAAACAAATGAAACTAGGTGAGCCTTTGACCTTACACCACCAAAGAGAATCCTTGCTGCCAGAGAACCAGAGAGACTGGTTTATCAGTTGGAACCTGTGTCTGTAACCGACCTGAACCCAACAGACGCTTTACATCCAGCTCGGCTTCCCTGCTCTCACTTTCAGTATGCAAAGAAAGCATTGAAGAAGGCTTGCTTTTTTATTTTCCGAGGTTATAAAATGCCATGAGATTAGGTACACCCACTGCCCACGAATTCCTGCATGTTAATTAAGCATGCTTTGTTAATGGCACTGAATAGCTTTTCAAATGAATGCTGATTAAAATCACTGCTTGTCAAAATCAAAATTTAACCTCTGTTACCTTTTTAAATGCAGTTAACCTGTCTTTAAAAAATTGTTTGACAGTAATGATCGGTTTAATGGAAACATATAACTATTAAGAAACATTATTATGTTCTTCATTTTTAAACACATGGACTCATTATTTAAGACCTTTCAGAAAGTTTGTAAGTTACACAGTCAACACACCAGTTCGGGGGGAAAGTCGCATAACACTTTAATACATTTATACTGTGCAAATATTTTCAGAAGAGGCTGAGTTATTTGGTAACACAGTCATCATGCCTGGACCTAACAGACCTTATATTCTTAAACTGGAACTGGAAAGCTTTCTCTGCAAAGAATTAAGTCTGGGTCATACTTTGAACTCTGTGTGCTGGACATTGGCTACATTCAAATGTAACTCACAGCTACAGTCAGAGACTACAGGTAAACTCACAGGCATTGATTATTTCCAACAAAGTATCGATGGACACTGAATGGGGATTTCACGTAATCCCCAATTCTCCTGTTATAAAATAGTTTTTTGATGCACAAAAAAAAAAAACAGGGTTTCACTATGTAACCCTGGCTGACTTCAAACTCCCTATATAAAGACAGGTTGGCCTTACCATCCTCCTGCCTCTGCATATTGAGTGCTGCGATTAAAGTCATGCACCACTACACGTAGGCTGCTGAAGCCCATTCTTAATCCATAATTAAAGTAATATAAAAAGCAAGCAAAGGACTGGATTTGGGTCACAAGTGACTGAATCAAGGGGAGGAATCTGGGGAAGAGGCCCGACAACCCCAGGAACACATGTGAAGGGCAGTGTGCAAAAAGGAAAGAGAAAGTGGGGTACTCGAGAAAAGAGGTGCAGGGACAGGAGTGTGAAGGATTTTCAGCAAAGGGGAAACACAGACGGCACTTGATGAAAGTGGGGGCCCATTAGAAGGAAGAACTTTCCAGAAAGAGGGAAACACAAGACAGCACAAGTCATTCAAGCACCCTAGCCTTTCTTTGATGAGGTAAAGAAAAGCGTGGCCAGACTACGAACTTACAGGGGTCACTTTGAACCAAGCAGTGAAAAGGAAAACACAAGAATTTAAGATAAGGATAAAAGTGTGATAAGGAAAATCAAGATAATCCCAAGGTCGTTGGTGGAGCCAATGGGTGCCAACTTCAGACCTGGTTGTAGGTGAGGTTAAAGGTGCCTGAAGGAAATATGTGAACTGCCTTGCTCAATGCTTATCACATAGCACTTGAGAAGTAATGGGATTAAAGCCACGGGACACCACTACACTCAGCCTAATAAAATCCACTCTTAATGCGCGTGTAATAGAAAAACAATCAAAGGACTAGATTTGGGTCACAGTTGTTGACACTTCTATATGTACCCTGCCTTCTCTTTGCAAGCTAAAGGCATGCACAGGCAAATATCAACCTGACCTAGAAAGTAATCTTCTAAAGTTTCTTACTTGAGGTGACTCAATTAAATCAGGAATATTCTGATTTATTTTCTTCTTAAATCGCTATTATACTTACTACATATAGAATTTTTATTACTGATTTTAAATTTCAATGGATGTGAAGTTACTAACATGCTAATACTGGCTTCACTTCCATGTATCAGCCCCCAAAACCCACACATCTGAAGCCGTCACTATAGAGGTAAAGGGATATCAGACTTCAAGGCGAGAGAGACAACTCCTCAGTTCAGGTAGCTAGCCCCTTAGGAGGTGCTTTATGGTTTCTATTGCTGTGATAAAACACCATGATCAAAAGCAACTTGGAGAGGAAAGGGCTTCATTTATCTTACACTCCCAGGTAACAGTCCGTCACTGAGGGAAGCCAGGACAAGAACTCAAGCAGGGGAGAAGCTGAAACAGAAATCTTGTTGGAATGTTGCTTACTGGCCTGTTTCTCATGATTTCATCAACCTGTTTTCCTACAGCACCCAGGACCACCAGGTCAGGGGTGGCACCAATGGTCTAGGCCCATCACCATTAATAAAGTAAATGCACTACAGACTTGCCTACATAAAAATCTGTTATGGACATTTTCTCAGTTGAGGTTCCCTCTTCCAAATGACTCTAGCTTATGCCTAGTGTTTGTATATATACTGTGTGACTCCTTGGTGTGATCAGAGGTCAGGAGAGGGCACTAGATTCACTGAAACTGAAGTTAATAGACGTTTATGAGCCTTTATGTATGGGAGATGGGAACCAAACCAGAGCTTCTGCACAAGCAACAAGTGTTCTTAACTGCTGAGCCATCTCTGCAGCCCTAGGACAATGGTTTTATTTTTGCTGTTGTTCTATAATTGAGACCTTTCTACATGACCACTCTGTCTGCATTATCTCCTTAAAACCCCTTCCAATCCCATAATTCATGGTCTCTTTAGTATTGTTACATGTATATAAATGTGTATAAACACACACACACACACACACACACACACACACACACACACACACATCTACAGCCCAAGTCCATTGATCTCAAGTACATATGTCCAGGATTGGAGAGTATATGTGAGCACTTATCTCTACAAGAAACTAAATCTCCTCTCTCAGCAGCCATTGACCATCTCTGGAGTTCCTCTGGAAGTCAGATCATATGGAATTCCCCTGTCCACAATGGCATGTCAACTGGAATTGTCATTATGTTATTCTTGTTCAAGCAATCACATTGTTGAGATTTCATGGATGCATTATTCCTTGAATGTTAGAGGTCATTATGTAGCAAGAGACATTCAAATATTCTAGTTTTTACCACCTTCCACAATTTTCTCTGAACATTAGGTTATAGGGATTGCATTGCTGATGTAAAAATTTGGGATGGGCAACCCACATCCCATTTCCCATTATCCCTTGCATTTTGACCAACTGTGAATCTTTGTAGTGGTCACTATCTGTTGAAAAAAAGAAAAAGTTTATTTGATGAGGGGTGAGAGCCACACTTATCTGTGGGTATCAAGATAAGATTTTGAATATAGTTATAAATTCTATTAGTTTAGAAAAATGCAAGTAGTAGATTCTCTTCTCAGGTCTATACTACCAGCTATAGGCACTTGGCTAGGTTTGTAGTACAAGGCATGGATTTCTTCCTAATGAGTGGATCTGAAGTCAAATTAGACAGCTATTGGTCATTCCGAGATAAATGTGTGACGATCACACTATGCCAGATATTTTACTAGGCTGATCATTGTTGGGGTTTGTAGGCTTTCCAGCTGGGTTAGAGTACTACAGATTGCTCCCCGGCACCTTTGGATACTATAGAGCCAGCCCTCTGGAAAGAGGCATCCAGGTCAATTCCAGCTCAAGTACTACATGTGCTCTGACTGAGTGTGTGGTACCTTCAGTAACAGTAACAAGTTCTGGAAGGCAACCAAGAGTAATGGCAATTGCCAATAGCCAATGTGATTTTGGAAGACTCGATTGAGAAGCTTCCCATTTTTGGAACTAGCTTTTGTTAGATAGTACATGATTCTTCGGGGATAGCACTACCCCAAATCTCCATTTAAAACTCACATATGGGGGCTGGAGAGATGGCTCAGTGGTTAAGAGCACTGACTGCTCTTCCAGAGGTCCTGAGTTCAATTCCCAGCAACCACATGGTGGCTCACAGCCATCTGTAATGAGATCTGGCACCCTCTTCTGATGTGTGGGCATACACGGAGGCAGAATGTTGTATACTTAATAAATAAATCTTTTAAAAAAAATTCACATATACACTTTAAGTACTAAAATAATATGCTGCCATATGGTCTTATCCAACATCCTAGTGCTCTCTCCTCTCTGCTCCTCCTCTATTGCCCTCCCTCCCCTTCTCCAGTTGAAGTCTGACCCACCCCCCATTTTCCCACTACCCCCACCCATAGCACCTGTTTCCTACTGTTCCACTCCCCGGAGCTCCATCTCTCACTTTTCCACCATGGTCCCTTGTTGAAAGGAGGTTGCATGTTGGCTCCCAGCTGCTCAGCCCCAAAATAATCATACAGAAACTGTATTAATTAAAATACTGTGTGGCCCATTAGCTCTAGCTTCTTATTGGGTAACTCTTATATCTTAATTTAACCCATCTCCATTAATCTGTGTATCAGCATGAGGTCATGGCCTACCTGTAACATGAGGGCCTACTTATTGTGGTTTCTGTCCTACCAAGTTCTACAGCTGTTTAGCCCCCAAAGAATGACACAGAAATCTACATTAGATATAAACTGATTGGCTCACTAGCTCAGGCTTCATATTAGCTCTTATAACTTAAGTTAGCCCATTATTCTAGTCTATGTTAACCTCATGGCTTGGTACCTTTCTCAGCCGGGCAGGTCATATCTTGCTTCTTCCGTAATCTGAGCAGGACTGTGGAGGAAGCTTCCTTCTTCCTAGAGTACTCCTGTTCTTATTGTCCCACCTCTACTTCCTGTCTGGTTCTCCCACCTATACTTCCTGTCTGGCTATCAGCCAATCAACATTTATTTAAAATATAATTGACAGAATATAGAACTGTTCTCCTGCACCACTTTTCCCTCTTTTTTTTAAACAAAAGAAAATAGCCATAGTCCATTTTGGGGCATATGTGGGAGTAGTATTCCAGACAACTTCCAGCTTGTTGGGGGCACTGATAATCTTATGGAGACCTAAAGAAAATTTAGAGTTATGATCAAATCCTGACTA